TCGCAGGTGACAGGCAAGTTCCGAGGTGGCGTCAACCCCTTCACTAATGGTTGCTGTAAGAATGTGAGCCGGGTCCTGTGTAGCTCCCCAGCCCCCAGGTAAGTGTGGTGGTGCCTCTCCAGCCCTCCAATACCTAACATAAGCACCCCCAGCTATGGGCCTTCACCACATTCTCTGCCCTCTCTCCCTGGGTTCTGGCAGGTACCTGGGGCGCCCAAGGGCTGAGCAGACGGTGCTGGTGAGACCCCCCTTCCTGCGGCCCGATGTGTCAGATGGCCAAATCACTGTCAAGATCATGGACAATGGTATCCAGACAGAGCTGAAGAGGACGAAGGTGAGGAAGGGGGGAATTAGCACTCCCCACGTTGGGGTCCTGCGTGGAGCCCAGGGGTGCAAGCCTGCATCCGTGAGTAAAGAACCGAGTGAGCCTTGTCATGTTTCACCTCCTCCGTGTTGTCCTGTTCTGTGTCCCCTGGGGATAGAAATTACATCCCTCCCATGTGGCAGTGACCACATGAGGCTTTGCATACTCCATTGCCCTTCCCTATCCCGTCTTTCACCCTTGCAGCATTGTTTGGAGGTTTCCCTTTCCACGGCACTTCCCAGCACATGGGGCACGTGCTGCCCTCGAGCACTCAGGATGTTGGACAGGCCCAGGGGCACCAAGAGACATGACACCACTGCATGCCCCTTGCCTGCTAAGGGGAGGGCTGAGGCCTCGGTGCCCTGCTGACCCTTTGCGCTTTGTCTCTGCAGTCCAAAGGAAGCCTGGAGGTGACGGAGAGCCAGTCTGCTGATGCCGAACCGCCACCCCCACCTAAGCCAGACCTCAGCCGCTACACGGGCCTGAGGACACACTTAACCCTGGCCACCAACGAGGGTAAGGAGGGCATGCAGGGTCCCAGCCAGCCGCTGGGAGGGAAGCCCGGGGCTGTGCCCGGCAGACCAGGAGCCAGGGCCGCAGGAACAGGCTGCAGGGTAGACCTGAAGCACGTCAGCACCGCCGCATTGTGGAGCAGGGTGCACCCATGTCTCCGGGCTGCTACACGCAGCCCTTGTGATTGGAGAAGCCTGTGGGATGCTTCCAGCCGGCTCTAATCTATTGGAAAAGAGCAGGAAGCCAAGCTGAGACCACTGCTTGGCAGCAAGGTGCTTGTCCTGAGCCACTGAGATGCTGTGGGCAGGCTTAAGGGCTGTTGTGCTGTAGATGAGCACAGGAGCGCAGCCAGGATGGAGGAGAAGGAATGGCAGGCTTGGCTTGGTGGCAAAGTTTGTTTGTTGCAGCCTGCGTGACTTGCATGCCCTGCTTCCCTGAGCGCCAGCGAAACGGTGCTCAGAAACACCTGTGTTGGCTTTGCAAGAGAAGTGGGATGTGAACAGGGCCGCTACAGGGACAGAGAAGTGCCTGCCTGAAACACTGTGCTGTGGGGACCCATTTTCCATCCCGCTCCATTTCATCCATTCCTGGAGCACTCTCCCCCAGCCTGTTCCTCTCACCTCCACCTCCACGGTCTGTCCTCCTAAGGCTCAGAGCCGGTTCTGGGGAAGGGAGGGAGGACTCCGCGCAGCGTTTGCATTAGTGGCCACACGTGTGAGTGTCTTTCTCTCTTCCCCTGCCTGCAGACAGCAGCTTGCTAGGCAAGGACAGCCCCCCGACACCCACCATGTACAACTACCAGCCTGGATACAGCAGCAGCAGCAGCTCAGCTGCCCTGCCCCATTCCACCAGCGCCAAGGTAAAGCTGTGCACGTGGCTGGCTGACAGGCAGCACTCTTACGGGGCTGCTTTTGTGCTCTTTGCTGTGGCTTTCTGGGTGGTGGGTTTGGGGTGGGCGTTAAGAGTTTTGGGGGCCCCTATGTTCCCAGGAGTGACTGCTGTGTTCCTGTCCCACAGCTGAGCCGAGTAAACAGCCTGAAGGAGCCCAACTCCATTGGCGAAGGCGGCCGCAAGCCCAGCTACCGCTCAGAGCCGAGCCTGGAGCCTGAGAGCTTCCGCTCGCCCACCTTTGGCAAAGGCTTTCCCTTCGACCCGCTGTCCAGTGGCTCCCGCTCCTCCAGCCTCAAGTCAGCCCAGGGCACGGGCTTTGAACTGGGCCACCTGCAGTCCATCCGCTCCGAGGGCACCACCTCCACCTCCTACAAGAGCCTGGTGAACCAGACACGCAACGGGAGCCTGTCGTATGACAGCCTGCTCACACCTTCCGACAGCCCCGACTTCGAGTCGGTGCAGGCCGGCCCCGAGCCTGACCCACCGGTGGGCTACACATCACCCTTCCTCTCGGCCCGCATCGCCCAGCAGCGAGAGACCGACCTGCACGGCCGCTTTGCTGCCGCCGTCTCACCCAAGCATGTGCCACCCCGCGAGCCCTCACCCGTGCGCTATGACAATCTCTCCCGCCACATCGTGGCTTCCATCCAGGAGCGGGAGAAACTGCTCCAGCAGCCTCCCGCAGCGGGCAGGGAGGACGATGCTGGGCTGGCAGACTCGGGCATCCAGTCGACGCCAGGCTCCAGCCATGCCCCCCGCACCAGCTCTTCCTCGGACGATTCGAAGCGCTCGCCTCTGGGCAAGAATCCGCTCACCCGCCCGGCCCCTCCCCGCTTTGGCAAGCCTGAGCCCTCCCACGCGCTGCGGGTGCGCTCCCTGGGCTCACCTGAGCAGCCTGCTGCCCCCCACTTGGGCAAATCTGTGTCTTACAGCAGCCAAAAACCAGCATCGTCTCAGGCCAGCGTCCCCGAGACCGAGGAGGTGGCCTTGCAGCCGTTACTGGCACCAAAGTGAGTTTTGCCACTGTCTGCCCCGCAGGGCGTGCACTGCAGCTCCTCACTGGGGGGGTGCGGGGAGGGCTGGGGGTTGAGTCCTGCTGGCACAGAGCTGGTGCTGTCCCTAGGAGACCTCATGGGCTTCTTGGTGGGCTTGAGGGATGCTTGTCTGCCTTGTGTCCTTGGGGAGGGCAGGGCTGCATCTTCGCTCAGCCGTGCTGGGATCCTACTCTCCCCTTTCCCACTGCCCTGTGCCCCGTGCTTTGCCACTCCATCCCTGTGCTCACCTGCTCACCCCGTGTGCTTGCTTCCCTCCCCAGAGACGAGATGCAGATGAGAACATCCTACAGCAAGTCCAATGGGCAACCCAAGAGCCTGAGCTCGGCCACCCCTGGCTCGGGATCCGTGCCTGTCAGCAGCCCCACGCGTGGAGGAGTCAAGAAGGTTTCTGGCGTGGGGGGCACCACGTACGAGATCTCAGTATGAGGGGCAGAGCCGCTCGCCCGCTCACCTCCTGGCTGGGCACCCGCTGGCACCAGAGGGCTCCATGGGCACGGACGCTCTGCAGCCCCCAGCCGACGGGGATGAGGAGATGGGCTGGAAGCCCCAGGGCTTTTTTCTCCCTTTTTCCACCCCTCCCTGGGACTCAGGCGCTGACTCACACCCCGGCAGGACTGTGTGGGGCAGGGATGCTGCCCTGGCCAGGTGTGGAGGCCATGGGGGGGCTGTGTCCCGCAGCCTCGAGCCCTGCCACCGTTGGCCGGGCAGCCACTTGTGGGCCTTGTGCAATCAATCGCTCGCCTAGCGTGGTAGGAATGGATTGTTTTTAAACCAGAATAACTTTTTTTTATTATTATTGTTACGGATTCTATTTTTTTTCTCTTTCTGAGTTATCAGGTGTGTGTATATATAAATATCTATATATATAAATATAAATATTAAAAAAAAGAAAAAAAAAAAAAAGCAGAAATTATATATCTTACCCAGAGAGAGGAAGAAACCACCCTTTCCCCTTCCCCACCTGAGCCACCATCTTGCAGGATCCATGGCCAGGGCCCCTGTGCTCAAGGGATGAGAAGGGGGATATACTCAGGGGCTCCTGGCGCCTGGGGGTCATGGGGTGCCGATGCCATGTTGGGACTTGGGGGATCCTGAAGCCCCCTGCTAGGATCTATCAGGCTGCAGGCTCCCCTCCTGTGTGCTTGGATTTGGAGCCACTGTGCCTGGCTTCTCCCCAATGGCTACAGAGGTGGTGTGAAGCAGGCGATGGCCGGGGGAGCTGCTGGCGTGCAGGAGCAGGTGAGAGCTGCACCTTTCTGCACCTGCAGATTTTGCTATATATTTTGGTTCCTTTTTTTTTTTTTTTTTTTTTTTAAGTGTTTCCCCAGGGTTTGTTTTTTTTTTATTAGTATTTTTAATTTTTTTTTTAATGGGCGATCAGTTTTTCTGACTGTCAGGTGGTTGTTTTAATTTCCATTTGGGGAAGAGGAAGGCCAGTGAGGCACATCCCCTGTCAAGCAATATTTTCTCATCACATGCCAAAAATGCAGCCAAGGAGCCCAGTGCTGCCCCACCACCCCCAACCCTGCTGGGGAGCCCACCCCGCACCGGGCCCACGCAACTTCGCACTACTTGACTCTTTCCTCTATGGCAATATCTCTCCTGTGGCCTCTGCAGAGCCATGCCATTGTTTTTTTTTATTATTATTATTATTAGCCATTTTAAAAACGAGGAATAAAAGGATATTTAATGAGCCACCTCAGCGGGCATGCGTGTGCTTTGTGTGGTGTCCAGGGATGGAGGATTCCCTGAAGGCTCCTGTCCTTCATTTTTCTGCTTTACCTTCCTCCTCTGGAGTGGAAAGGAAGGGGGCCGAGAAGAGCTGGGCCCAGCCTCACAGGGCTGCCACAGCGCCTTTGGCCTTGCAGCTGGGATGAGCTTCCTCAGGACACTTTGGGGCACAGCGCTCCTACTGTAGTGTAGGTAAGTGGAGCTGTCAGGGCACTAAGCAGGAATATGTCCCAGGACTCAGTGAGGCTCTGGCTCTTCTGTGGGAGCCCCACGGGGGCAGCCCTGGGGAACACAGTGCTGTACCAAGGTCACTTGTGTCCTCCTGCCCCCTTCTCTTCACAGCTCAGAAAGCTGCAAGGGCTGGAGTATGATGGGGCTGAGCCAAGGCCTCTGCTCCTTGCCCTGCCCCGTTGGCCAACAGTCAGAGCCGCCACTGGCACCAGCTCTTCCTCAGAGCAGACTTTAATTAAAAGGTGAATAAAAAAGAGAGATCCCAATGCACCATGTTGTTTAGGTATAAGAGGCCAATGGTAGGAACCCCCATTCCAGCATTGTCTGTGTCACCAGGTCCACATCGGCCACACAGTGCAGGCAGGGGGGTTGCAGGGCCATGCTCTTTGCAAGTGGGGGCCACGACTGCCCACACTTCCCCGCTGTGCTCTGTGAGAGGGATGAGTCCACAGCAGGCAGCTGGGGCTGGGAGCTCCACTGAGCGGCATAGTGCAGCCTCACCGCAGGCTGCTGCTGCTGCTGGCCTGCGAGCTGCCCACCCCTGGGTGCTCGGGGCTGTGTCGGTTCTGCAGAAGAAGGATAGGCATGAGGCCTTGTGAAACTGCGGTGGTGCCAAGCACTGCTGGAGCCAAGTGCATGGAGCTGCCCAACTACAGCCTGGCACAGGGCTGGGGCAGGCAGAGTGGAGCAGCACGCCGGCTCCCAACCTACCTTTTTTTTCTTTTTTTCCTTCTTCTTCCTTTTCCGCTCTGGATCCTCCTCTTTCTTCTTCTTCTTTTTCTTGTGGTCTGAGTCCGAGGGGGTTTCTACAGGAAGCAGAGGTGGGATGAGTGTGGTGCAGAGTTAGCAGGGCATATGGCCTGCAGGGCAGAGTCCTACCTGGGGGGACGGGGTCCTGCGTGCGGCTCTGCTTGTGCTTGTGCTTGTTCTTCTTCTTGGGTGGCTGGATGTGCATCAGGCGGCACTGCTCCGGCAGCTGCAGGGGCTGAGGTCAGAGGGTCCTCACCTTACCCCCATCCCCCCCGGCCCTCCCCAGGCGCTCACCGGGCCAGCGTGCAGGCGGAAGCCGGTCAGCATGGTGCCGGTAAGGGGCGTGAAGGAGCTGCCGCAGATGGGCGGCTTCTCGATGAGGGAGCGTAGGCTGCTGTTGTCGTGGGAGCCGGGCAGGTCGATCATGCCGGGCAGGTCGGGGAGGAAGTTACTGAGCTTCTCCTTCACCTTCTTGCCGCAGAACTTGTTGTAGGCGTGCTCCAGGTTGTAGTGCGTGATCAGGTTGGTGCTGCCCGTCAGCTCCGTGCTGCCTGCGGGCGGACGGGCCCCTCAGCGCCCTGAGCCCCGGCCTCACGCGCCCATTGGCCCCGCGAGCTGTCATTCCGCGCCTCCCGCCCGCACCCTCTCTTCTCATTGGCCCCGCGCGCCACCCGTCACGCCGCGGCCCTCCCCTCCCGCGGCCCGGCCCGCACCTGGCAGCTCCCGCAGCAGATAGAATGGGCCGGAGGCGGCCTTGCGGGCCGCGTCCTCGCCCGGCGGCGGAACGGCGGCGGCGGGAGGCGGCGCGGCCCCTGCTCCCGCCGCTTTGGCGGGCCCGAAGCCCAGGGCTGCGGCTGCGGTGGCGGGCGGCGGCTCGGCCCCGCCGAACAGCGCCGAGAAGTTCTCCATCTTCCCGGCCTGCCCCGCGTGGGGCCGCCCCGCCCCCGCCGCGCGCCGATTGGCTGGGCACCGCCCCCGTTGCTAAGGGATACGCGGGTTCAGCCTTTCAATTGGCCGCTTCTCTCTGTCCCCGTCATTGGCTGAGAGTTCTCGCCGCTGCCGCTCACGATTGGCCTGCGGGGAGGACGTCCCGCCCCGCGCAGACGTGCGGGCAGCCCGCCCAATGAGAAGGCGGCGGACGGTCGCCGGAGGACAAGATGGCGGTGCTGGCTCCGCTGCTGGCGCTGCTCTACTCGGTGCCGGGGTTGTGCCGCTGGCTGGCGCGGCCCTACTATCCTCTGTCTGCGTTGCTCGCTACTGCTTTCCTGCTCGTCCGTAAGGTCCCGCCGCTGTGCCGCGGGCTGCCCTCGCAGCGGGAGGATGGCAACCCCTGCGACTTCGACTGGGTGAGCAGTCCTGCCGACGGCGCTGGTCTGCCGGCCGCCTGGCACCGCCCTGCCCGGCCGTCCTGTGCCCGGGGCTCCTCGGGCGTCGCCGGCGCTGGGTGGCGCAGCGGCGGCCCCTCTGTGTGCAGCTCCGGCTCGGTTATGGAGGGGAGGCGGAGGCTGGAGGTCGGCGCGGCCCGGTGTGGCTGCTCGTCCTTGTGCAGAGAGCGCTCCGAACAGGGGAGGGCAGTCCGGCCTTGGCTGTGCTGCGGGGCTGATCGGCTGTCCCCGGGGTGCTGGCCGTGGTGCTCAGGGTACTCTGCTCACAGCATTTCTCTCCTGTGCAGCGGGAGGTGGAGATCCTCATGTTCCTCAGCGCCATCGTGATGATGAAGAACAGGCGCTCCAGTGAGTGGGGGCTGCGCTGAGGGGGTGTGGAGGGAACCTGCAAACTTTGTACTGTGGAGGAACAGAGGAAACAGGTGGGGGCAGGGGATGAGAGAGAAAAAGGAGACACGGCCCCATCTCTGACTTCTTTCCTCCTTCCCAGTCACTGTGGAGCAGCACATTGGGAACATCTTCATGTTCAGCAAAGTAGCCAATGCTATCCTCTTCTTCCGTCTTGACATCCGCATGGGCCTGCTCTACCTCACACTCTGCATTGGTGAGACCTGTGGGGAAGTGGGGGGATCCACAATACAGCAGTGCTCCTGGCAGGCCTTGTCTTGGCCCATCCTGTGCATCAGCTGCCTGAGATGGGGCTGGAACCATCTTGCCTTGTGCTGTTGGTGCTCTTTGTGGTCATATACACTGTACTGGGGAAGGAGGAGCCTCCCCCAGAGTAGGCCTGGGTCTTTTGGATGTTTGAGAAGTGGGGAAAAGGGGGGCAGAGGCTTTTTCTAAGTGGGCACTGGACTCAGGGCTGCTGTTGTTGCAGTGTTCCTGATGACCTGCAAGCCGCCCCTTTACATGGGACCTGAGTATATCAAGTACTTCAGTGATAAGACCATAGACGTGAGTATCATCTGCCCAGTGTGGGTTGGCATGGGGCGCTGGGTTCCCCGCCTACCGTCTCTTGTTGATCCACACGGCCCTGTGGCAGGAGGAGCTGGAACGGGACAAGCGGGTGACATGGATCGTTGAGTTCTTTGCCAACTGGTCCAGTGAGTGCCAGTCCTTTGCCCCCATCTTTGCTGACCTCTCTCTCAAGTGAGTGATGCCTGTTCGAGGCCTTGGTGAGTCGTCCCCAGCCCAGCGGTCACTCACGGCACTCAGAGTTGTGTTCTACCTCCCAGGTACAACTGCTCGGGGCTGCATTTTGGGAAGGTGGATGTCGGCCGATACACAGATGTCAGCACCAGGTCTGTGGGGTCGAGATGGTAGGGTAGCACCAGGCCTTCCAAATGCATTGGTGTCATTGTCTGCCTCTTGCCTTACTCCTGCAGGTACAAGGTGAGCACCTCACCCCTCACCAAGCAGCTGCCCACCCTCATCCTCTTCCAGGGTGGGACAGAGATCATGCGTCGCCCACAGATTGACAAGAAGGGCCGGGCCGTTTCCTGGACCTTCTCTGAGGTATGTAAGGGGCAGAAAGATGTTCCAGCCCACACCCAGAGGATAAGGATGTGCTCAGCATCTCCTCACAGGCACCATGGAAAATGGGGGCTAGCAGGAGGTCATTGCTGTTGCTAATGCTGTGCTCTGGCTGCAGGAGAATGTGATCCGGGAGTTCAACCTCAATGAGCTCTACCAGAAAGCTAAGAAGCAGTCAAAGCCACGGGATGAAGGCTCCGAGGAGCTACCCGAGGGGCAAGCAGCAGCTGGCCTTGCCAATGGGGAGACTAAGAAAGAGAAGTAGGAACTGCCCACATTCTCACCTGTCACCACTCCACCGCCCCTGCGGCTGGGGACCAGGCAGTGCCGGCGGGAGGCCCTGCACGTAGCACTGAGCCCGGGGGCCACCGCTCCCTCTGCTCGTTCTGGCCGGGGCCCATGCTAGTCTTCGGCCCCGCCGGTTCCTGGGAAGGGTAGAGCCAGGAGCCGGGCCTGCGCTTCGCGCGTATTCTTTGGCTGACAATAAACGTTCTGTGCGCGCCCCCGTGTCCGCTCCGTGCCTCTGCCCGCGGGTTGGCCACCAGGCGGGGGGCGGGGCTGCCTCCAGCGTCCTGTGCGCTGATTGGCTCCCTCGGCGGAAGCGCCGGGGAACGGAGCCCGCGCGCAGCACCGTTGCGGCACCCCGCAGCGCGGCGGCGGAGAGCGGCACGTGGCGGCGGGAGCGGGACGCGGAATGGCTCCGGGCGGCAGGAAACGCGCCAAGCGGCGCCCGGCCGAGCCGGAGGCGCAGGCGGATCCCCCCGAGAAGCGGCCCCGCGGCAAGGCCGAGAGCAGCCCCGGGGACGCCGGCGGCCCCCGCGTCGTCATCGAACACTGGTAGGTGAGCGCCGGTAGGTGAGTTCCCCTCCCCGGGGCTGCGGCTTCGCGCGCCCCTCTGATTGCCGCCTCCCGCAGCCGTAGCTGACGCGTGTACGGGCGCAACGCGGCGGCGCTGAGCGAGGCCCTGCGCGGGGCCGTGGCCGCCCTGGCCGTAGAGATCAACCCGCGGCAGCCCCGCAGGAACAGCTTCGAGGTGTCCCTGGTGAAGGAAGACGGCAGCAGTGAGTAGGCGGGGCCGTGAGGAGGAGGAGGAGGAGAAGGAGGTGGTGGTGGTGGTGGTGGTGCATCCCGGCGGCCCTGACCCATGCCCGCGTCCACCCGCAGCCGTGCAGCTGTGGAGCGGCATCGGGAAGGGGCCGCCCCGCAAGCTGAAGTTCCCCGAGCCCGCGGCCGTGGTGGAGGCTTTGCGGAGCAGCCTGGCCTAGAGGCGGCGGGCACAGAGCGCGAGCGGCACGGACAACGGCACGCCGGGAGCGGCCTCACGGAGCGAGCGCCTATGAAGAGGCGGCACCAAGGGGGGGCACCGCCCCCAGTATCGCCTCCGACCCCGCAGCTCCTCCGCTGAAACGCCGGAGTCTGGCGGCCCGCAGACGCTAACCAGCGCTATTTCCCCAATAAAGCTCTGCGACTCCGTCATGCAGCTCTAGTGCTTTATTTCAGCGACAACCGACGCAGGATGCTGCGATCTTTTGGTCTGGGGGAGGCAGGCGTTAGCAGCTCCCCTAGCCAATGACATCCACCTCCCCATCTGACTCGGAAGAGGGGCTTGGATAGACACACGCGGTGCCGGGGGGCAAACACGGCTGCTCTGTCCCCACATCCACCTCCTCCTCCAGGTTGTCTTCCGGCAGCCCACCGGCAGCCTGTGGCAGCCACGGCTCTGTTACCGTTCGGGTCTCCACGGTGAGGGGCTCCAGGGAGAACTGCCTGTCCTGCACCACCTCCCAGCCGCGTCGGCCTTCCATCCTCCTCAGTTTCAGCCGCCCCACGGGGCGGGCCGGACCCACGGTGTCTGGAGGGAGCGGCCGTTCTCGGGGGGCGTCCGCTAGGGGAACGCCGCCGGACCCGAGGCCGCGCAGACAGCTGCGGTCGAGCTGCCAGCGGCGCCCGGGCTGCACCAGGTCGTCCTCCCGAAGCTGCAGCGACTCGAGCACGGCCACGCGAAGCCGGCGGGCGGCTGCCAGCACGTCCCGCACCTCCTCCCGGGAGGCCTCCAGCTCGGCCGTGTACAGGAAGCGTACCACTTTGCGCAGCGTCGCGATCTTCAGCCCCCCAAGCTCCAGCACCACGCGGCGCCCCGCGTGGGGCGGCTGGCGGGCCAGGCGCTCCATGAAGAACGGGCTCCACACCGCCAGCACGCAGCAGTGCGCGGCCACCACCTCCCCTGCAAGGAACGCGTGGCTGCGGTCGGCCCGGCCTTCCTCGGGGACGGCGAGGGAGTCCTCGGGGCGGCTCTCGCAGCCACAGAGAGAGCCGCTCGCTCACCTTCGGCCCGCAGGAGCACGTCGCAGAAGACGTCCGCTCGCTGCTGCTGCTGGTGCAGGCGCAGGAAGGCGGCGCGGAGCAAGCGGGAGCTGCGGTACTGCAGCCTGGGAGCGGCCGGCGAACAGCCCGACGGCATCCCTGCGGCGGTGACGGCGCCGCACCTCCCACGTGCTCTCGGCCGGCAGGGGGCGCCCGCCGCACCGACTCTGAGGCGAAGCCGCAGGGCCTCCAACCGGGCCCGGGGTGTCGGGACGACCGCTGCGCCGCTTACCTGCCCCTGTGGGTGCTGGAGGTCGTCGCCGGGGTCCGGCGTCGCGGAGAGAGGGAACGGGGCGCGAGGCTTCGCGTGCGGAGCCTCTGGGCCTGGCCTAGCGCGCCCGCACGCGACGGTAAGGGCGACAGCTCACTCATGCGATTCGGTCCTGCCGTACATGCGCGCCTCCCGCCTTGACGCTTCCCTCCTCCGTGTTCTGCCCAGCAACATCTCCGCTATTGGCCAATCCTGACCAATCGCAGCGCGGCGGGAAAATAGGCGGGAAGGTCGCGCAGGAGGTGCTGGTGGCCGCTGAGGGTGAGTGGGGAAAATGGCGGGGCCGGGCTGTGGTGGGCTGTGTTCCGAGCGAGCTGGGGCTGAAGGGACGGGTTGCGGAGATTCCGGGGTGTGAA